GGAAAAATTGGTCATTGAAAACCTTACAAATAGCAGGGAAACATTGTCTGGCATAGTGCTGCAAGACGAAGATGAGCCCCTCAGTTTGAAAAGCACTCAAAATATGACTGAAGAACACCTGCCTCCTCAAAGTAGAGTCAACTTTAATGATATAGTGGAGTAAAGCCTTCAGGACCTTCATTTGCTGATGTGGCTCAACTCAAAATGAGAAGAAACAGCTGCAAACAACCATTAATAATCAGAAGAGGGACTGTATGAAGTATCAATCTGGGGAATGGAAGACTGTAAAAAAGTGAACTGGAATGCATAAAGATTAATATCCTAGGCATTAGTGAACTGAAATGGACTGATATTGGCCATTGTGAATCAGGTAATCATATGGTCTCCTATGCTGGGAATGCCAAATCGAAAAGGAATGGTTCTACATTCATCATCAAAAAGATCATTTCAAGATCTACCTTGAAAGACAGTGCTGTCAGTGATAGGGTAATATCCAAATGGACACAAGGAAAACCACTTAATACAACTACTATTCCAATTTAAGCACCAATCACTAAAGTTACAGACGTAGAAACTGAAGATTTTTACCAACTTCTGCAGTCTGAAATTGACCAAACATGCAAGCAAGGTGCATTCATAATTACTGGCCATTGGAATGAGAGAGTTGGAAACAAAAAAGAAGAATTTGTAGTTGGAAAAGATTGCTTGGTGATAGAAATGGCACTGGAGATAGCATTTTGCAAGACAAATGATTTATTCATTACAAATATCTTTTTACAACAACATAAGCAGTGACTATCTCACCAGGATATACATAGGATACACAGGAATCAAATTGACTACATTTGTGGAAAGAGAAGTTGGAGAAGTGCAATATGATCAGGCAGAACAAGGCCAGAGGCTGATTATGTAATAGACCTTCAACTGATCATAAGCCAGTATAAATTGAAGCTGAAGAAAATTAAAACAAGTCCTCAAGAGCCAAAATGAAACCTTGATCATATTCTACATGAATTTAGAGAGTATCTGTGGTAGTTAAGGTTGTGTGTCAACTTAGCTGGGCCATAGTTTTGAGTGGCTGGGCAGTTGGATATAGTTCTTATCCATGATGAGGTTATAATCACCTCCATGGTGGAATCTGCTGTGAGAAGCTAAGTAGCTGCCTTTGGGATGTGACCTGCTTCCAGTAAATAAGGGGAAGTTTTGAGAAAGGTCTCTAGCTTTTTGGCACATTTATATCCTACTTTTAGCCAAGTCTTCATCTCAGTAGCCAGCTATGTTGCCTGCTAATGTTGGTGCATTTCTGGACATGAACCAGTGTCTGCCATGTTGCCTGTTTATCTCAACATTGTGCCATTGTACTTGCTGACATTGACCATGGATTCATCACTATTAGCAGCCAGCAGGTGCATGAGTTTAGAGAAGCCTCTAGTGGGTGCAGAATAAGAGGCAGAGCTGAAGCCCAAGATCAAGGGGCCTTCACCAAGCCTCTAGAGCCAGAACTCTGAGTTTGGATTTCTAGCATCCTAAACTGTAAAAGAATAAGTTCCTATTTGTCAAAGTCATGCATTTGTGGTATTTCTTTTGTAGTAGCACTGGATAACCACAAAGAATTTGGTACTAAGAGTGGGGTGCTGCTTTAACGGACACCAAAAATGTGGAAGCTGGAGTGGAGCCCATCCCTGGGCCAAGATCCCTGCTCTGAGACTAGGACAGAGAGAACAGTAGAGAGACTAGCAGAGAGATGGTGGCAGCAGATACAAGAGACTAGCATAAGAGAAAGCAAGAGACTAGCCAGCCCACTGAGCAAGAAAGCTAAATGCCTTTGAGTAGAAAGCTTCCTGGCAGAGTGGGTTGCTTTGAGGCATTAAATAGCAGAAGCTGAGAGACCAAAGAAATAGGAAGCAGATCTGCCTTAGTCTCAAAGGGTAGGGCCATGTCCTCTGGTGGTGGAACCACCACAGCCTCTTAGGTTTCAAAGTGTCTGATCTTCATCAACTCAATTCAGGAATGGGGGTCTGCCATATATGATTGCCAGTGGGATGGGGCCATACCCACTGCCAAAAAGTGAAGGGATGGGGCTGCCATGCCTAAGGGGCAGAAGAATGGGGCCTGCAAGGCTAAGAGAGTGATATCTCCCCTCAGATGGACTGAGACACTTGGGCCACCCTATAAAGGATCTCTGTATAGGTGCCAAGTTGACCAGGAGTGGAACATGGTAGTTAAGGTTGTGTGTCAATTTGGCTGGGTTGTGGTCTTGAGTGCTGGGCAGCTAGATGTAGCTATTCCCCATGACAAGAATGCAATCAGACACCATCTGAAAAACAGATCTGATGCACTGAACATCAGTGAATGAAAACCAAATGAGTCGTGGGAAGACATAAAGGACATCACACGTGAGGAAAGCAAAAAGTCATTTGAAAAAAAAAAGGAAAAGAAGAAAAAAAATAGTGGATGTAAGAAGAGACTCTGAAAATTGTCCTTGAATGGGGAGTAGCAAAAGCAATGGAAGAAATGATGAAGAAAAAGTGCTGAAGAGAATTACAATGAAATATGTAAAAACCTGGAATTAGAAAATCAGAAGGAAGAACAAACTCAGTATTTCTCAAGCTGAAAGAAATGAAGAACAAATTCAAGTCTTGAGCTGCAATATTGAAAGATTCTATGAACAAAATATTGAATGATGCAGAAAGCATCAAAAGAAGATGGAATACAAAGAACCATTGTACCATAAATAATTGGTCAATGTTTAACTATTTTAGGAGGTAGCATATGAGCAAGAACTGATAGTATTGAAGGAACTGAGGGAATTGGCAGAAAACAAGGCTCCAAGAATTGATGGAATGCCTATTGAGATGTTCAACAAATGGATGCAGTGCTGGAGGTACTCACTCATTTATGCCAAGAAAATTGGAACACAGCTACCTAACCAGCTAACTGGAAGAGATCTATATTTGTGCCCACTCCAAAGAAAGCTGACCCAAAGAAATGTGGAAATTATTGAACATCATTAATATCACACACAATTAAAATTTGCTGAAGATAATTCAAAAATCATTACAGCAGTACTATAATCAACAGGATACTGCCAGAAACTCAAGCTGTATTCAGAAGAGCACATGGAAAGATGGATAATTGCTGATGTCAGATGGATCTATCTTGGCTGAAAGCAAAGAATAACAGAAAGATGTTTACCTTTGTTTTATTGACTATGCAAAAGCATTCAGCTATGTGGATCATAACAAATTATGGATAACACTGTGAAGAATGTGGATTTCAGAACACTTAATTGTGTTCATGGGGAACCTGTACATAGACAAAGAGGCTGTTGTTTGAACAAAACAAGGGAATACTGCATAGTTTAAAATCAGGAAAGGTGTGTGTCAGGATTGTATCCTTTCACGGTATTTATTCAATCTGTATGCTGAGCAAATAATCTGAGAATCTGGACTATATGAAGAAAAAGATTATATCAGGATTGGAGGAAGACTCATCAACAACCTGTGGTACATAGGCGACACAATCTTGCTTGCTGAAAGTGAAGATGACTTGAAGCACTTACTGATGAAGCTCAAAGACTACAGCCTTCAGTACGGATTACACCTCAACATAAAGAAAAAAATCTGCAGAAATGGACATCATCATGATAAATGGAAAAAAGATGGAAGTTTTCAGGGATTTTATTTTACTTGGATCTATAATCAACACCCACGGAAGCAGCAGTCAAAAAACAAATGATGTATTGCATTGGGGAAATCTGCTACAAAAGACCTCTTTAATGTGTCAAAGAGCCAAGATGGCACTTAGAAGACAAAGGTGCACTTGACCCAAGCCATGGTATTTTCAATCATCTCATATTTTTTGTGAGAGCTGGACAATGAATAAGGAAGACCATAGAAGAATTTATGCATTTGAATTGTGGTGTTGCTGAAGAATATTGAATGTACCATGGACTTCCAGAAGAATGAACACATCTGTCTTAGAGGAAGGACAGCTGGAATGATCCTTAGGAGGGAGAGTGGCCAAACTCTGTCTCTCCTACTTTGGTCACATTGACAGAAGGAACTAATCCCTGGAGGAAGATATCATGCTTGGTAAAATGGAGGGTCAGCAAAGAAGGGGAAGGCCCTCAATAAGATGAAGTGACACAGTGCTGGTGATGATGGGCTCAAGCATGGCAAAGATTGTGAGAATGATGCAATACAGACCCGTGTTCTGTTCTGTGATACACAGGGTCACTACAAGTCAGAACTGACTTGATGGCACCTAATAACAACATGAGCTATAGACTCTTCTGAACCTGATTTTGGTGGAAATGTGCTTTTCTCTCCTTTTTGGATGGTTCTCAGTCTCATTACTGCTAAATATAAAAAAAATGAAAGTAGCCTACACCACAAAATGGTGAGATTAGGAAGCAATGCCTCATGAAGCAAAAAACTAAAATAACAGGGAGAATACACAAATTTGAACAAATAATCATGTTATCATTGCAAGTCAATTTATTCATAGTAGCTGAGCAGCAACAAGGCCATCTCGTATCTCACAGAATGTCAGAAACACTCTTGAGATATACCCTTGCAAAGCAAATGAGAAGCAAAGAAGGTCAATTACTAGTCCAGGGTAACAGTAGAAATCTCACAGTAAACAGGCAATGAAACTTGGCCTTACATAGCCCAAGCCCATCTTTTCCATCAACTATTCCACATTGAGTGTCTCTTCTTAACAATACAATGCAGAGTAAAGAACAAAATTATTTGTTCTGATAAAAATGTGGATGGATTTTTTTAAAAAAAATTAAATTTAAATGGTTTATCTGTTGTAATTCATGATGGCAGGTTTCTTTTTGTCACAGTGGTTCATTTAAATATCTCATCAAAAATGAACTCTCGAGTAATTTCAAATGTGTGTAATATATTTCCATTCGTGTTTACAAAAATATCTTCAACACCGAGAGAGCAAAGCACAAGCATTACATTCTGGTGCTTGCCTCCATTCATTACCATAAGCAGAGTGGCTCCCAGGGCAAGGCAAAAAAGGATGGGACCAGCGAGATCCGTTTCATTCATAATGCTGCCATCTGCTGGCTTCAGAGGGTTTAACACTGTCAAGGTTTTTTGCCAAATGTGATCAAAATTGATTCCAAGTTCTGCAAAAGGGAAAGAAAGGAGATAATATAATTATAAGAAAATAAGCATAACTAATATTCTTTAATTAAGGATTAACATATTTGGAGTCTCTAGGTGGTGCAAGGGAGCTCCGGTAGCATAGTGTCTAAGGCACTTGACTGCTCATCAGAAGGCTGGCGGTTCAAAACCCACCAGCCACTCCTCGGAAGGAAGATGGCACAATCTACTTTTGTACTGATACTGCCTCAGAAACCCAAGGAGGGGTCGCTATGAGTCGGGTACAACTCAACAGCACATAATAACAACAGGTGGTGCAAATGATTCACACACCCGGCTGCAAACTCAAACTTGGAAGTTCAAGTCTACCCAGAGGCACCTTGGAAGAAAAGCTTCACAGTCTACTCCCAAAAAATCAGTCACTGAAAAACCTACGGAAAATAGCTCTACTCTGACACATGTAGGATCACCATAAGCAAATTGACTCAATGGCAACTGATAAGAAATAAATAATAATAATTAAAAAAAAAACTAAAGATGTATGTAATAGATAATAACTTCAAATTAATTAAAAAAAAAAAAAGTTTTTTGTTACCAAACTATAAGAGAAATATTAAAGAAATAATTCCATTAAGGAAAAGGTTCCCAGCCTCATGAAGCAAACACTAGCTTAAAACCCACTTGAAAATTTGGGATTGGACATTTTTCACAGTAAAAAATAAAATTGTAGCTAACAAATCAAAAGTCTTCTCTTCTAGCCTATTTAAATGTCCTTTGGCCCATATGTTCCATTACTAATCTTCTGAATACTTGGGAAATATTTTTCAATTAGCAGTACTATCTAAAGAGACTTAACCTAGGTCTGGGGATTTATTTCCACCGTCTTATTAGCAGAGCAGTTTTATAATACCTACCTGAAACTCAATGGAGGAGAAAAGGGGAAGGCTCACTCACCAGGTAAATGCAATCATAATGTGCACACATATTTTTATAAGGTCAATGCACTGTGTGGTTGAGACTGTGTAGTCAAAGACTAAATCCTTGAGGAATGTTAACCATAACCTTTTATGAGTGGTGCTGTTAGAATAAGATATCCAGAATCAATAAGGGAAAGTGTCATGAGTCCAAACTGATAAACACATTTCTAATTTTATTTTTCTCCACTGCCTTCCCAAAGGATTCTGACTGCCACCTCACAGACCCATTAAATTCTACTCCTCTCACATCATCTCCACAGAGAAGAAAAAAAAAGTCTACCCATCTGACATTCACTAATGGTCGGTGGTTTGAACCATCAGTTGCTGCTTGGGAGAAAAGACCTGGCTGTCTGCTTCAGTAAAGACAACCACCTAGGAAACCCTATAGGGGGCAGTTCTATTCTGTCGTTTAAGGTCACTATGCATCAGAACCAACTCGACAGCAGACAACAATGAAGCATAAAAATAGAGGCCAGTGGTGGTTCAGTAAGTAAGCCATGGAGGCACAGTGGTTAAAGTGCTCCACTGCCAACCGAAAGGATGGCAGTTCAAGCCACAAGCTGTTCTACAGGAGAAAGCTGCGGCAGTCTGCTTTACCAGATTTGCAGACTTGGAAATCTTGTAGGACTTTTCTACTCTGTCCTTCAGGGTTGCTGAATTGGAAGGAATTGACTCTATGGCAGTGGATTTGGTTTTGGTATTGGTGGCACATTGGTAGAGTTCTTGCCTTCCAAGTGGTAAATGAGGGTTCAATTCCTGGCCAATGCACCACAACTGCAGTCAATACCCATCATCAGTGGAAGTTTGCATGTTGCTATGATGTTGAAAAAGTTTCAGAGGAGCTTGCAGAGGAAGATAGGTTAGAAAAAAAGGTCAGGTGATCCACTTCTCAAAAAAGGGGGCCAACTCTACAATACACATTTCAATACTGGATAGACTTAGCCCATAACCTAATCTTTTAACCACCAAAATATTATACTCGAAAGGCAGAGGAGCAATTTTCGAGAGGTACCACTGGAAAATTTCCCATCATCATTGGAAAATTTACATGGAGTTGTGGTTGAGCCAATGTGTTTCTAATCTCATATTGGTTTTTTTTGCCTGTTTGTTTTTGTTTTCAGTTGAGCCTAATTCCTCCACATGAGGACCTGGCTTCCTGAAATTCTTTTGTGTATGGCATTCAACTTACACTCTCAAGATTCAGCAATCTCCTTGGTTAAGTACAGGGTATAGCTAAACTTTTACAGTGGTCTATACTACATTCACACCCTGCTAAGTTCACATTTTATATGAAGAACATATTATGGATTTTAATGTAATGATCTTCCTGACACAAAGGGGCTTGCTCTAGCATGTTGTTGCTGTGTTGTTAGGTGCCATTAAGTCGACTCCACTCCTAGTGACCCTGTGTACAATAGAATGAAACTGCCCAGTCCTGCGCCATCCTCATAACACTTGCTGTACTTAAGCCCATCATTGCAGCCACAGGGTCAATCCATCTCATTGAGGGTCTTCCCCTTTTTTGCTGACCTTGCTCTTTACCAAGCATGATATCCTTCTCTAGGGAATGAGTCCTTTGGACCACATCATGAAAGTAGGTGAGATGAAGTCTGGAAAGTAGGTGAGATGAAGTCTGGCCATTTTCACTTCTAAAGAGCATTCTGGCTGCATTTCTTACAGGAGAGATTTGCTCATTCTTCTGGCAGTCCCTGGTAGGTTCAGTATTCCTCACAACCACCATAATTCAAAGGCATCTACTCTTCTTCAATCTTCCTTACTCATTGTGCAGGTTTCACATGCATATGAGGTGATTGAAAATACCATGACTTGGGTGGTTGTTGTTGTTGTTATGTGCCGTCGAGTCGGCCCCGACTCATAGCGACCCCTCCTTGGGTTTCCGAGGCAGTATCACTACGGAAGTAGGATTGCCCAACCTTCCTTCCGAGGAGTGGCTGATGGGTTTGAACCGCCAGCCTTCTGGTTAGCAGTCAAGTGCTTTAGCCACTATGCTACCAGAGCTCCTTGACTTGGGTTAGGTGCACCTTAATCTTCCAACTGACATCTTTGTTTCTTGACACTTTAAAGAAGTCCTTTGCAGCAGATTTCCCCAATGCAATATGTTGTCTGATTTCTTGACTGCTGCTTCCATGGGTATTGATTGTGGATCCAAGTAAAATGAAATCTTTGACAAGTTCAATCTTTTCTCCATTTATCTTTATTTTGTTTATTAGTACAGCTGTGAGGATTTTTGCTTTCTTTATGTTGAGGTAAAATCCACGCTGAAGACTATAGTCTTTGATCATCAGTAAGTGATTCAAATCATCTTCATCTTCAGCAAGCAAGGTTGTGTCATCTGCATATTGTAGATTGTTAGTAAGTTTTCCAGCAATCTGATGCCACATTCTTCTGCATATAGTCTAACTTCTCAGATTATTTGCTCAGCATGCATATTGAATAAGTATGGTGAAAATATACAACTCTGACACACACCCTTCCTGATTTTAAACCATGAAGTATCCCCTTGTTCTGTTCAAATTGACAGCCTCATGGTCCATGTATAGGTTCCTCATAAACACAATTAAGTGTACTGGAATTCCCATTCTTTGCTATATTATCCATAATTTGTTATGATCCGCACAGTTGAATGCTTTTGCACAGTCGATAACACAAAGGTAAACATTTTTCTGTTATTCTTTGCTTTCAGCCAAGATAGATCCATCCAACATGAGCAATGATATCCATTGTTCCATGTGCTCTTCTGAATACAGCTTGAGTTTCTGGTAGTTTCCTGTTGATGTACTGCTGCAATGGTTTTTTAATTATCTTCAGCAAAATTTTACTTGTGTGTGATATTAATGAGATTGTTCAATAATTTCCACATTCTCTTGGATCACCTTTCTTTGGAGTGTGCACAAATATGGATCTCTTCCAGTCAGTTGGCCTGGTAGCTATCTTACAAATATCTTGGCATAAATGAATAAGCACCTCCAGTGCTGCATGTGTTTGTTGAAACATCTCATCAGGTATTCCATCACTTCTGGGAGTCGTGTTTTTCAGCATTTCCTTCAGTGTAGCTTGGACTTCTTCTTTCAGTATCATTAGTTCTTGATCATATGCTACCTCCTGAAATAGCTGAACATCGATCAATTCTTTTTGCTCTAACATGTACCCAGACATTTTCAGAGGGTCAGACAGCAGTCTGAATTTGAAGAGAAAAGGTATTCCTTCACTTTTTTTGTGCTCAAATTGACATTCACTTTCCCAAACCTGAAAGAATTTGACTAAGAGTGAGCAAATAAATTTCAACTTTCATGTTTCATCCAGCATTACCATAGTGTATTTGTATGTTTTTGGTTTTTTTTTAATGAATGTAGACTTTGGAGATTATGAGCAGTTTAGAAAGTTTACCATAAGGTTAAAATATATAATGCAGAACATTTCAAAAATTGACAAATGATGTAGTTTAAGGTAAGGAGCTCTGGTGGTGCAGTGGTTAAGGTATTTGGCTGCTAACCAGAATGTTGGCAGTTTGAATCCATAATCTGCTCTATGGAAGAAAAATTGGACAATCTGCAAAGAATTACAGCCTTGGAAACCTAATGGTATGAGTCAGAATGAACTTGATGGCATGAGAGTTCAGTATTTTTTCCCCCCCTTGGAGTTTCAGTTAATTTCACCAGAGGTGTATGTTGTTTTCCAACCTTATATTCAGTTTTAATATTTATACTAACAATATGTTATCTGTATATGTCACAATAAAATGGTCTTTGATTTAAAATACCTTTTGCACAGTACCTAAGGCATTTGACTGCTAATCAGAAGGTTGGCAGTCCAAACCCACCCGCTGCTCCATGGAAGGAAGATGGGGCAATCTACTTTCATAAAGATTTACTGCCTTGGAAAACCAATGGGGGTCTCTATGAGTTGGAATCAACTCAATGACACTAGGTTTTGTTTTTGTTTTTATTTTTGTCAAGAAACATATTTATTCCTCAAGTAACTCAGATGGAAAATGCTTTATGGGATGTTAATACTTATTTCAACTATTTAATAGTCTAATTAGCATCTGTGCATGTTTCAATATTGGGTCATGAAACAGTGAATAAACCAAAACCAAAATGAAACCCACTGTTTTCGAGTGGATTCTGACTCAGAGCAACCCTCAGGACAGAGTAGAACTACCCCATAGGATTTCTAAGGCTACAAATCTTTTTGGCAGCTGACTGCCATGTCTTACCACATCTTTGTCCTCCTGGGGCAGCTGGTGACTTTGAACTGCCCACTTTTCAGTTAGCAGCTGTGTGTTTTAACCATTGAGTCACGAGGGACCCTTTGAATGAACATAAGATTAACTAAATATTTTTATGAGGAAAATATTTTGTGTTTTCTGAAAAAATGTATTTCTAAAATATTTTTTGCATATTAGGTTTTATTTTATTTAAAAAAATATATTGTGCTTTGTGCACAAATTTACAGAGCAGTTTCATTTTACATTCAAAAGTTCATACATATTTTGTTTCATGGCACCAATCACAATCCCCACAATGGTACAGTTCTCCTCCCACCTCTTCTCTTCCCTGTGTCATCCTTACCTATGCATTCCTGTCTGCCTCTCTTTCTCTCCATGCAAACACTGCCCTTCCTATCTCTCACTTTTGACCATTTTAAGGAGTGCATCACTCTGGGGTAGGTCCTCAGGTCTCAGACCTTTCTATTGTTTAGCTGAGAGCTAACCCACTGGTGTGAGTCCAATTCCAGAACAGAAGAGTAACCCAGGGCCACAGTCTCAGGAGTTTCATATTTATACAATATTTTGTTTCACCTTATTTTATAAAATATGCAAATGAGATTATAAGTATTTATTAATTTTAGGTATCCAAATACCAAGCCTTATTATATGAAATAAAAGATGAAAGTACTGTGAAATGTGAATGTAAACTTTACTGTTTTGCTGTCATCTAGTGGTAGTAAAGTATATCAATGATATATACCCACTGTTGTCTAGTCAATTCCAACTCTACAGAACAGAGTAGAACTGCCCCACAGGGTGTCTAAGGCTGTAAATCTTTGTGGAAGCTGACTGACACGTCTTTTTCCTGTGGAGCAGCTGGTGGGTTCCAATCACTGACCTTTTGGTTAGCAGCCAAGCACTTTAGTATCTTTATTTCCAATGCAAAATTGTGGCATTGACCTTTCAAGCATAAACATCAGACTATGATACAAATACAAAATGTCAAGCATCACAGTAATTTTTTTCTAGTCTGACAGCCTTGAATTGACTATTATTCTTTAACATGCATTGTTAACTTACTGATCATATAATACCAACTGGTAAAAGTTACTACAAGTGTTTTAAACTATAAAACATTTAAGAAATAAACATATTTTCAAATAACAAGTTTTGTAGGTTGTTGTTGTTGTTGTTATGTGCCATCGAGTCAAACATGGTTTCCGAGGCAGTATCACTACGGAAGCAGGATTGCCCAACCTTCCTTCTGAGGAGGGCTGGTGGGTTTGAACAACCAGCCGTCTGGTGAGCAGGCAAGTGTCTTAGCCATTATGCTACCAGAGCTCCCAAGTTTTGTACAAAGGACGTTAATTACTATGGCTGCATAATCTTATAGGTCATTTTTCTGTGCACTCAATAAAAGCTAGAATATGTCATTTGTCAACCTATCCTAAAAATCCTATCTATGTGAGGCCTTCCCACAGTCACCCAGCCTGAAGTCTACCATTTTAAACCATAAATATTAGGATTTCCACGTGTGCAAAGTCTTATGATCAAATTAGATCACAAACAAAATCTAGATAAAAATGTTTTAAATACATATTCCAGACAATAATTAATATTTTTACTACACAAATATCTCTAAAATAAATAAGGAAAGAAATATTCTTGAGGTTCCAATAGGAAATTTGGCAAACGTGATTATAGGAAGAAACAGAAATAGTCCATAAAACCATCTCTCTTTTCCAGTAACCAGACATCTTATGTTCTATTATAAGGATGTAGTGGAACACCCTTTTTTGAGATCAGTTTGATAGTGAAACTACCCTTTGACTCAGTAGTCCCAATATTATAGATCCATCATGAGGACAGACTGTACAGATGCCAAAGGGGCAAGGAAATGGCATCTTCTGACCTCCTCTAACCTCACAAGAGGAAGATAGAATCACCATCAGCAACCCAAGGCCTGCATCTATGAGGCTAGACATGCCACCACCTTCCAGCCCTCTTACTAACCTTGATACCAACCGTTCCTTCTGTGGCACCCACCACCTCTCTGCTGGGTTCTATAATTTGCTGCAGTGTCCACACAGAACTCACAGATTTGGGGGTTTATTAGAGAAGCAACAGGCTACAATTCAAGTTCAGGGACGCGCTCAGTCTCTCGCAGCTGGCCATCTCACTCAGCAGCCAGCAGTCTCTCTGTCTCTCAGTAGCATATCTGTCTCTCAATAGTGTGTGTCTCTCTCATGGTTCTCTCTCTCTCAGCAAATGCATCTCTCTCATCAGCACATCTCTCAGCTGGCAGGGAGAGATTCCTTCTGCCTCTAGGAGGGTTCTTTTTGATCCTGGCAGAGTGGCAAACTAACAAATCCCAACATCAGAATTCTGTACACCTGAGAGAGAGAGTGAAATTCCAGAAGATTGGTTCCTGCCACTCCAACAGAAATATATTAGGTGGATAACTTTAACAATCATGGCAAAGGAGGAGTTACAAAGACTATGGCTAGAAATGCCATACCATGTAATTTACTACACCACAACAGGTCAAAAGTTGCTTACTATGTTTACCAATGAATTTCTTTTTATAGGGAATAATCTTTGGAGTGTGTTTAAATCATGATACTTTTAAATGATATAATTTTAGGAAGTCATTACCATATATATTAGAAAACATTAAATGTGTTTTCCAATAATATATAATGACTTTACAGGAGCTCTGGTAGTGTAGCGCCTAAAGCATTTGACTGCTAACCAGAAGGCTGGAGGTTCACACCCACCAGCCACTCCTCTGAAGGAAGATTGGGCAATCTACTTCCATAGTGATACCACCTCAGAAATCCAAGAAGGGGTTTCTGTGAGTCAGATCTGACTCGATGGCAGTGAGTTTTTGTTTTTTTTTTAATTTATTTTTACTAATTTGTTTACTTTGTACTTTCTCTATGCTGAATATAGATTTCATAATTAGAACACTTAGTTTTTTAAAAGCAGAGATGTTGGTGAAGTCAAGGAAAATGTTTAATGAGGATAGGTTATAACTTTCAAGTGTTGGCTATTAATTTCAGATGCAAATTAGAATAGATCAGTTAAACATAACATGAAAAATTTAACTGACTTCTAAGAACCAGTAGATCTACCATATTATTTTCTGTGTTTTTCTGAATTTTTCCTTCTTTATTCTCTAGTTTTCAAAGGAAGGAAAGAAGAATTTGTTGAAATGCCAGCTGATTGACTATGTTCATTTGAGGTCAATAATGATCATTTGATGAAATTCTGAAAATTTCAATCTATTCTTTTTCACTTGACTACATAGAAAGTAGTTGATAGAGCAGTTAACCTATGACTATCTTTCCTTGAGTCTCAAATTTTAACCTACTTGAATTTTAATTTTCTACTGCCTACATTTACAGTGTGGCTGTGGTGGCACAGTGGTTAAGGCATTCTCCTGCTAACCAAAAGGTTGGCATTTCAAACCCACCAGCTGCTCCTTGGGAGGAAGATGAGGCAGTCTGCTTCCATAACAATTTACAACCTTGAAAATTCTGTGGGAAAGACCTAATCTGTCCTGTAAGGTCACTATGAGTTGGAATCAACTTGATGGCAGTGTTTTTTTTTTTTTTAATATATATATACATATATATATTTCCAGCATCATGTGAACATTCTTTAAGAGCAAAAGCAGCAGATACAAGATGGATGGAAGTTAAAATAAATGAATGAATAGAACATCTCTGAAACATTCTGTTACAAAGATTCTTGGGTTTTCTGCCCACTGATGTGATGCTATTAACTGGTAGTATATTCCTCCCACTTAACCATGGCTAGCTGAGATGAGAGGGTTCAGATGAGATAAGGAAAAAAAAACAAAAAAACCACAGCTGCCTGTCTCCATGACAACAACAATAACAAATATTAACTTGAGATGCAACCCTCTTTTGATTGTAGGCAAGCATAACAGAAATATCAACTTGAAATACACTGTTTTGAAAGGCTTCATTAACTGTTACGAAATGCTTCATTAATTTCATTAACTTGACTATAACTACTCTTCCAAAACATGTCTTTCCTGTTTTCTATACATGGCCAGGATGTCCAAATTTAAGAAAGAGTGAAAAATAAAACATTTAGTAACAGCAGCAATGCTGTATCAATAGCACTTTTCCACAACCAATTTTCCCCATGCAAACATGCAACAAACTTCCAGTGGTGTGAGTGCCTTGGTTTGGCAAATCCTTATTTATATATGCAATAATCATACATAAAATGTAGTACACAGCAGGCTAACAGCACACATTAAGTGCTGATTATTGCTATTAAACTTCAGGCTATATACACATATTAATACTTCCTTAACTTATCTTCTAGCAAAGGAGGCTCTTCACCAAAACTCTCAATGTAAGGAGATTGTGAGTAATAATCCGGGTAGAAGGCTGGTTGAAAACACTGTCCTGTGGAATCTGGTGTGAGCATCTCCGGTGGAACCAAAGAGGCAGGCTGGGGCTGCTCAGATGCTTCTTGTCTAAGGGAATACAAAAAACAAGAAACTGGCATTCACACATCCGAGAAAGGAATCTATGACAAGTCAAGGAAGGAGTGTAAAATGTTCCCTTTCATAAATTCACACAGCATTTACTCATGAGTATTTACCCATGAGAGAAATAAATTGCTTAAAACTTAATTTTAATCAAGAAAGAGAATGTGTAGGTAGAAATTGTTGAATTGGTGTACGTTATGCTGTGTAATATTCTCATAAACAAGAAATAAATTATTAAAAGAAAGAAAGTGAACTATCTGTCCAAGCAACAGCTTCTGTAAAGACAATCTATACCAACTAATGTTTATTGACCATATAGAATGTACTGGATATTTTCCCTGTGTTTTCTCACTTAATCAAACTCTGTAACGTAAGGCACTTGGCTGCTAACCAGAAGGCTGGCAGTTCAAACCCGCCAGCCACTCTTTGGAAGGAAGACAGGGCAATCTATTTCCATAGTGATACCTCGTCGGAAACTCAAGGAGGGGCCTCTATGAGTCGGATCCAACTTGATGGCAGTGAGGGTTTTTGTTGTTGTTGTTGTTATTTTTTTATTTTTGGTTCTGTAAGGTTAAAACTATTTTTAATCCTATTTTATAGCAAAAGAAAAAAAAAAAAAGGTTCACAGAAATAGGTTGAACATGACTTGCCCAATATTGCACAATAAAATTGCTGGTGTTGGACTCCAAATTGAAGTTTTCTAAGCAGGGCACTGCCCCTGCATGATGTTGCTTTTTCAATGACTATCAGGGGCAATCTCTAATCATGACAGCCCCTATAAATTGGTGGGAGCCACATGAAAAACCACAATTTTAATGTTAAGGTAAATTCTCAGAAAAAATAAATACATAATCTGATTGTTGTCCATAAATAAATTTACTTTCCAGTTCTGGTCCTTCCCAGACAAATCATTGTCAATCTTTTTATCTATGCTAAATGTAATTCACAACTGGCTTTAGCGTCCCTCCTATGCAACGTGCATTTTAGTTTCAATACCTCATTGACCATGTTCTTGTTTGTTTGTTTGTTTTTAATTTTACCTTTTGTGTATGAAAGTTGAAAAACAAAAATCTTTGTAAATAACTTCTTGCTAGAGCTAGAGAATGGAAGAAAGAAAAGTGATGTTTGAATGTGAAGTTATTTCTTCATTTTAAACAGTTTTTACCTGGAGAAAGGAAAAGAGACATAAGGAGTTTTCCATAAATACATTAACATTTCTTTCACTTAAGTCCCTTCAGGTAAGCTGAAAATACAGTTCAAGCTTCTGAACTTTATAGCTTGCTGCCATTACATTACGCTAAAATACTTAGATACTATCCTTCCAACATTAATATGAGGGGAAGATTTATAAGATTCCCATTCTTCTTTGTTTGTATAAATCTGATAAGGAAAATAATATATTTTGGAAAATAAAGCTATGAGATATTGTGAGATATATTCCTTGACCATTCACTAACTCAGTCATAAGCACACTGAAGTCAGGGGCCTGGTGTAATATTTCTTGAATCCTCACAGTGTATTACCAATTACAGTTATTATTCTTTAAGTTATATGACCTAACTCTCTGTAGTGGTTATGTTTTTGTGTCAACTTGGCTGGGCCTGGTTTAGTGGCTGGGCAGCTGGATGTAGTATTCCCCATGATGAGACTGGTAATCAACTCCATGGTGGAATCTACTGGGAGCAGCTGAGTAGCTGCCTTTGGGTATGTGGTCTGTTTCCTGTATATAAGGAGAAGCTTTGAGAATGGTCTCTAGCCTACGGCACTCTTGGACCCTGCTTGTGGCCATGTCATTGCTCAGCAGCCTTCCATGCTCTGCCGACCTTGGGACTTACAATGGACTTAAGTTAATGGCCTGCTGTGTGGTTTGGTAACATCAGGACTGTGCCTTTTTACTTATCAACCTTGGGGCTTCTCAACCTCAGCGGCCAGCAGCTGTCTGAGTGAAGAAACTCCCCTAGCTCCAGTGGGCCGGGAGCAGGAGGCAGAGCTGGACCCCAAGGTTGAGGGGCTTTCACGCAGCCCCTAGAGCCTTGACACTTTGAACTTGGACTTAAAGCTTCCAAATTGTAAGAATAAACTACTGTTTGTTAAGACCATCCATTTGTGGTATATTCTTGTCAGAGCAGCACTAGGTAACCAGAACACTCTCTTTTCTCTTCTTCCAGCAAAGGAGGTACATTATCAAAACTACAATCAGAAACAAATGATACATAAAAATATGAACTGGATTATGGTTGACAAAATGCCACTGGATATGTATTTTTTTTTTCTTTTAATGTAAGCATTTCTAGAAGAATGAAAGAGAACAAATAAAGGTGACTCAACAGATCAGGGTCTACACAAGACTATGTCACTGACATAGTGGCCCAGCTCTCCGTAACCAATGCCCAGGTTCTCCTAGCCAGGCTTAATAAAGCATAAGGAAAAATTAACTTTCTCAAGTATTGTCTGCTGAGCAACCTCTCTGCATGAGGGGACTTAGCATGCATGGTTACTTTGACTCAGCTTCCTTCTCCTCCTCCCTAAAAAAAAAATTACATTTTAACAGAGAAGAAAATTTTCTTAAAATCTGCCTATCTCCAGCCAAACCCTGTCCCTTACTCTTTCCTCCATTCCTCTCTGCTCCTCATCCAGAAAACTTTTATCAGGAGCTTGTCCTCTGTTGGCAGACCTGGTGGCATAGTGCCCAATGCATTTGACTGCTAACCAGAAGGCTGGCGTTTCAAAGCCACCAGCCACTCCTCAGAAGGAAGACTGGGTAATCTACTTCTGTAGAGATACTGCCTCAGAAACCCGAGGAGGGGTCGCTATGAGTCTAGTGGGATTCAACTTGACGGCATTGAGTTTTTTTTTTTTTTGGTTGTCCTCTGTTGTTCTAGATAGTGACAAAATATTAAAATTCCCCCATCGTTTACTTAAGAGAGTATAATTTTAAAATGCATCCCATAATCGATACCCAAAATCCTTCTAACTCCCAAATCCATCAAAATTTGCCATACACATTCTGTATGATTCTCTAATATAAATAAAATTTTGTTATAACATTTGGCTTTATACACAGATGCTAACATTTGACACATTTCAATGAAGAAAACCCAATCAAAACCAAAATAATAGTATAATTAGTCCCCAGTCCCAATATAGCAAAGTCCATAATTTCTACGAACAACCATATATTTTTTTAATGAAAATACATACAACAAAACTTAGAGTAATTCAACAATTTCTACATGAGCAATTCAGTGGTATTGATCACACCCATCAAGAACCACCATAATTTTGACCATATTTCTCAAACCTACATACCAACTCTGGATGGCTATGCCACTGAAGTTCTCTCAGATTCTTCATGGTATCTTTCAAACTTATAATATCCATTTGTAAAAAAAATAATTCAGAGCCAATGGGACTAGATATATACTAATTCCTCTGCTAAGCCTACAGTCCTAATTTATTAACCTACTAAAGGCCACTGTATGAGCCTGATTAGTATCCCTGTTACTCAGAATGTTGAGGTTAAATCATGTATCTACATCCCTGCACAGCAATGGGAGTTTTGCAAGGTATACCAACAAAATATTTCTCATCTCATGGATCACACAGCATTTTCATGAGCTCTATAATGAGACACTGACATAATGATGATTTCAAACCTGGTGCATTATTTCAGATGGGGAAAAAAAAAGTCAACTGAATTACACCATCACCCCCCAAAAGAAAAAAAAAAAAAACCACTGGACTCTTAACTATAGGGTTTACATGTTAGCTTTGTCAGAGAATGTTTCCTCTTCCCATAAAAATAATGCCAAGCAAATGTAAGGTTGACTAATAAAGGCTCCTTTAGAATGATCAGCAAAATTCTTGGCCATATTTCCCTTCTTCGACTTCCCAACTCTGTAACACCTAGAATGATAGCCAATGGTAGGATTTCTCTTGAGTCTAGTAGAGAAGTTAGAGACACTGGCCTCTGGAGTCAAACTACCTGGGTTCAAATTCCAGTTTTTTTCTATGTAAGTAAGTCAAACTGAGCCAAAAAAATCAGGCACTCAAAGTGCCCTTCGTGAGACCATATTGTAAAAGAAGCTCCATGCTAGTGTGGTTTAGGAAAAGAGGAAGGAAAGCACTGGCTTGTGGAGCATTCCCAGCTCCTGGCCGTTCCATGGGGAAGACAGTGACGTCATTCACTATGCTTTGAAATACTAGAGGAAGGTCAGATCCGGGGGTTCAGAAAACATGATGACCCAGTATTGGTCTGTTAAATTCTTACTAAAATATTCAAAAGGAGTTTTTTAGTTGTTCTTGCCTCTGCAATATGTATTCCTTTCTCCAAATAATTTGAATAGATATCTTACTTACAAAAACTGGAAAAATATAGTAGAAAATATAGCTTACATAACTGGCTACAGGAGGGGTTGGAAATAAACCCTATGCCCTGGTGGCACAATGGTTAAGCACTCGGCTGTTAACCGAAAGGTCGGAAGTTTGAACCCTCCAGCCGTTCCTCAAGAGAAAGATGTGGCAGTGTGCTTCCATAAAGATTTACAGCCTTGAAAGCCATATGCAGCAGTTTTACTTTGTCTACGGGGAATCACAAGATGGACTTCTGGTGGTGTAATGAATAAGACATTTTGTTGCTAATCAGAAGGTCAGTGGTTCAATTGCACCAGCTGCTCCGCTAGAAGAAGATGAGGCAATCTACTTTCACATAGATTTACAGCCTTGAAATCTAGTGGGGGTCACCATGAGTAGGAATCAACTAGATGGCAGTGTGTACAGACTCACTAAGGAGTTTGTGTGGCACTGTGGCTAAAGCATTGGGCTGCTAACCAAAACATCAGCGGTAGGAACCCACCAGGTGTTCTGTGAGAGGAAGATGAGGCAGTCTGCTTCCATAAAGATTTGCAGCCTTGGAAACTAGATGAGGCAGTTTGACTCTGTCCTATAGGGTTGCTATGAGTCTCAAAGGACTCCTAGGCAGTGGGTTGTGTATGGGCTCACTGCTACTCAGAATCAACTGCAGCAGTGAGTTTGGTTTTGTGGTTTTTTTAATGACTGGATATTTATCTTTTTGAGTTTTTGTTGCTTTGTTTTAAATGAAAATTCCCTTCCTTGTTTATTCTAAAATAAGACTTCTTGTTTTAAAATATAAATATATTCATTGCCTTAGTAGGCACAATCAACCAGCTTTCAGATCAGTATGCCATTGAGCTGAATAAGCTTTTTTTTTAAAAAAAAAAAAAAAAAAAGCTATAACATATCTAGGGAAGAGAGAAAGAGATTGATTGATTGATTGTCGCTATCTTCTGGAATCCTATGTCTTTTGCCAGGATGATAATAAGCACCTTATTCTGATTTGAGATATATTTTAATTGACACTATTCACTGTATGAATAAAAGATCAAATCTCTGGAGTTCATTTGATGTACACTGGTAAACCACTGACCTGACTCTATGTTTTATGTACCTCATAAAACTATCACAGCTAATGTGCCTTCTACTAATTCCTGAGACATGCAGTGTGGATTGGAATTTAAATGTTAGCACATCCAAACCAGGGCTTGGATTTAAATGTTAACCATCTGAGGCAGGCTAGGCCATCAACCGGATAAAACATAATCATGAGTTTTCTTCATTCGGAAATTAATTTCCTTCTCTCTATCATCTTGATTTCCGGGCACGGCTAATATGTGCAAACAAATGGAGAAAGCAAATTGGGGCAGATAGGCTGGGGAAATAAGGCTGTGGTCCACAAGTCCTCCTTAAGGAGAAAGCTTTGTCTCTTACTGAGCTTTCCTCAGTTTAGTCTGAAAATGTAGCCTGCAGCTGCTACCCAAATGCTTATCCCATTTGGAGAAGAGAATAGAAAAAAGAAACAGAAGGTTCAAGGCAGATGGTTCCTTTCTACAAAACAAGGGCAGAACAGAGCTCAAACATCCCATTAGGTAACTCTCATGGTGGATTGTGTATTTTGAGTGACCACACTGTAATACTGTAATGCACACACATTTTTTCTGCTTCATATATTTTTCTGTTGCTTCTTGACCTAGATAACTTCTTTCAGAATATAAATCATAAATGAAATAGAATGAAATTATCTTCCTCTTGCTGGATTCTGCAATGATTGATCTCATTCTACATAGCCTTATCATTTCTCTAATTTTTCCATAGAAATTTAATAGCATTTTAATTTGCTTAGTGGTACATATAGAGTGATTGTTTTTCACTTCAAGAAATACTTAAGGCATTAAGCCTAATGCTGGAGAGGAGAGGATAGGGATGAAAATGAGATAGAATCCCAGATGGTTTACTTGGCCAATTTAAAGAGCAAAATATTCCATTATCTTTCCCTACCCATATACAGTAGTGGTTCAATAAGTGCAGCTAGGAAACAGCTTGTGAATTCAGCCTCTATCGGCTTATGTCTGCAGGGGTAATTGTTCAATGAAAATAGTGTCCAAATTTTTCTGGGTATTGATGGAACAGAAGACTCCCAATGCCTGTTGTATTTATTTTGTCTTTTCTTCCTTCCATCTGAAGCTCTTTCAATACTTTTCTGGGATAAAAAATAAATATTGTTGTTAGGTGATTTTGAGTTGGTTTCAACTCATAGTGACACTATGAACAACAGACCAAAACAGGGCCCAGTCCTGCACCATCCTCACAATCCTTACCATGCTTGAGCCCATCACTGCAGCCACTGTGCCAATCCGTCCCATTGAGGATCTTCCCCTTTTTTTGCTGGCCCTCGACTTTACCAAGCATGATATTCTTCTCCAGGGATCAGTCCCTTCTGACAACATGACCAAAGTCTGAGAGACAAAATCTGGCCTTTCACCCTTCTAAAGAACATTCTGGGTGTACTTCCTCCAAGACAGATTTGTTTGTTCTTCTGGCAATCTATGGTACATTCAATAATCTTTGGCAACACTACAATTCAAATGCCTCAGTTGTTGTTGTTGTTGTTGTTATGTGCCGTTGAGTTGGCCCCGACTCATAGCAACCCCTCCTTGGGTGTCCAAGGCATTATCACTATGGAAGTAGACTTCCCAACCTTCCTTCCATCAACTCTTCTTAGGTCTTCTTTATTCATTGTGCAGCTTTCACATGCACATGAGGTGTCTGAAAATATCATGGCTTGGATCAGGCAGACTTTAGTATTCAAAGTGACATCTTTGCTCTTTGACACATTAAAGAAGTCTTTTGCAACAAATCTGCCCAGTGCAATACAATGTCTGATTTCTTGACAGCTGCTTCCATGAGTGTTGATTATGGATCCAAACAAAATGAAATTTTTGACCATTTCAATCTTTTCTCCATTTATCATGAGGTTGCTTATTGGTCCAGTTGTGAAGACTTTTGCTTTCTTTAAATAAGCTTTGATAATTAATGAATTTGATATATTTGTTAAAAGGTTATAACAAATAGACCCATTGGGATAGTACAGTGACCACATGTCTAAGTTTTCTTAAGATGGTTCTATGCCTATTGTCCCAACTTTACTATTAATAGTACCCATTTTATTCTTAAAAATGTTTGGTCTGACAATAAATTATATGCCCATCCTAGCACAGGCCTAATCAAAGAATCTTAGGCTACAATCATAGCCCCATTTTTTAATTACCTGTGTGATCTTAGGAAAGTTCTTAATTTCTCTGTGTCCTATGTTTGTTTCTCATATCTAAAACAGATATAATAAAAAGTACCACCTACCTTACAGACTTGTTTAGGGGATGCAGTCAGTTAATTTATATAAATGTCAGAACGATTCCTAACACATAGTAAGTGTTCAATGTTCATTATGAAAGTTGAAGGGCCTTACTGTCTCAAAGTCCACTAAACCAGATCTACCACACAACATCCAAGAATAACCAAATAAAAACAATTTAGTTATTTTAGGCAACAAAGTTTCAATTGCTTTTGCAAACTATAGTTATATGAATAAACAGCTTTTATATAGTGGTTTTACCTTAACATGCTTCCTGTCCATTATTACAATTGTACTTCATGACAGTTCCATGGAGTATGTATTATTAATATCTTTATTTCTTAGATTTTGACACTCAGAAAAATTGTCTTTCTCAATGTCACAAAGACAACAAATGCCAGAGCCAGAACTAGAAACAAATTCTTCTCAATCTAAATTCCATGTTTTTTTTTTCTACTAGTAAAGGACAAATAGTAAATTCTTAATAAGTTTTTGAATGAAAATAAGTTGAATGTTCAAATGAAAGAATTCATTTTAAAATGTGTTTATCTTTATTCCTTCATAGCACTTTTCATACTGTATTATAATTGCACATTTAACTGATTATTTCCTCGACATGAATTCCTAAATTTTATGAAAAAAAAAAAAAGACCATGGATTTACTCTTTATCTTGGATTTGTAGCACTGCCAAAGGGGCAAGGTGGTTGCATCTTCTGGCCTCCCCTAATCCCACAAGAGGAAGACAGAATCACCATCAATAGTCCAAGGTCTATTCCTGTGAGGCCAGACATGCTGCCTCCCTCCAGGCCTTTCATCAACCCTGACACCAACCATTCCTCCCATAGCACCCACCATCTCTCTGCTGGGTTTGATAATTTGCTGCAGTGGCCGCACAGAACTCATAGATTATGGGGTTTATTATGGAAGCACCAGGCTACAATCCAAGTTCAGGAACAATGCTCAGTCTCTTTCAGCCTGTCGTCTCTCAGCCAACAATCTCTCTCAGTCCCTCTCCCAGCAGTGCGTAGTTCTTGGTGTCTCTCTCTCAGCAGCATGTATCTCTCAGGAGAACATTTCTCTCAGCACGTCTTTCTCAGCCAGCAGTCAGAGAGACCTTTTCTGCCTCTAGAAGGGGTCCTTTTGAGCTGGCAGAGTGACCATTATCCAATCCCAACATCAGAATTCTAAACACCTGAGAGACAGCAAACTTCTCAGAAAATTACTTTGTGCTGCTCCCAACAGAAATACCCCAGGGGGATAACTTTAACAATTAGTTGCTCACAGCAAATTCTACCACAGGGTTTACAAAGACATGGATAGAAAAGCCACGCTATGTAATTTACTGCATTGCAAGTACCTTTCCTAATTCTTGACACAAAGGTAGAAACTCAACAAATGCTAATAAAGTTAAATGAATTCTGTTTCTTAAGCAGTGTCCTAGAGTGCAATCAAGTAAAATGCCCAGTGCCTGCATGCATCCTCCCTATTAAGTGTTATTCTGAAAGAGAAAAACAAGCCATTCACCTGTAAATGAACCTGAGGTGATAAAGGTGTTCATGGATGATTGAATTAATATATCCGTCCTTCCTGACATTTCTTCTTAAGCTCTTCAGTGAAGCATGCTAGCAAGAGCTTTTTGCTCCCCCCTGGGAAACTCTACCTACTGAAAATGTCATATTATAATGACTTCTTTATGAGAGCATATTTCCCTGGGTTTTTTTGTTTTTTTTTTAAAAAGTACTTACTTTCTAGATCCATGAAGATAATCATCACAAATCTGCTCCTGATTATCAATGGTATAATTAGATTGATAAAAGTCAAACTGTCCCAAGTTTGACATTCTGAAAAATAAGAGAAGTATTTTTCACTTATAAAATTATGAGTCAAGAAAGATACTTTTGAGATATTTACAAAGATTAATTGGTAAAATTTTTGGCTGATTCCTACCAGGGAATAAGCTATTTTTTTGAGGGGTAAATTAAGTGTAAAAGTAGGGGAAGGGTATGAAAATATATGATAGAATGTCACTTAAAAATCTGCATTGGAGTCGGGGCAAGATGGCAGACTAGGCAGAAGGATTGCACAGACCCTCTTCAACAAAGAAAAGGGAAACCAATTAACACAGACACAGAAGATAATCTTGGACCCCTGAGCCTTGA